GTGTGCGGGGGGGAGTCGTGAGTGTCAGCCAGGTAGTCTGACACGGGAGGTCTGGCTTGGGTAGCCCGCAAAAACATACGGTGCTCCGCCGCTGTGTCCCTGGCGTCAGTCCTCCGAAATGTGCCGCTTTGGAGCACAGCAGATAATGTAGATTCCTGTCCTTCGTTGTTATAAACCGCTAGAGTTAATTTGTACCTTATTTATTGCTATCTTCGTGTCCGTTTAAACAAACGTAGTGTGCTGTACATCAGCAGAAGACCACGACTCTTTGCTTCTTCCGCCCTATGGCTTTGCCTCCTCCCAGATCTTGCATTCCTCCCGCCGTAGCTCTGCTCTGGTGTCGTTTCCCTACCCCTGTTTTGCTCACCGGACGAAAGGCACTCCAGGTTGTAGCTGCCCTGGGTGCAGGGTGGGTAACGTAGATGTTCTGGGTGGCAGTACCTTGCTGTCTTGCGCAGACACCAGGCCAGCAGAAGGCTGCCGGGAAGCTAGTGGAGGGGTTTTGGTGGGGGTGGGTTGGTTGTGTCTGCTCTGGACGAGGCCGACTGTGACCATCCAGGTAGGGAAATGGGGGAGAAAGTTGTAGAACCACATTGCAAGGGAAACTGCGGGAAGAGATGCCGTTGGTTGAGTTGGATCATGGGCTGCCATCGGTGCGTGTTGCTTCCAGTGGGTGCAGCCTCTGTTCCCCTATACTTCGGTGTTAACAGGGTTAATACTTTTCTAATATAGCATGTAGTAGTCCTAATAGCTTTATACAGCACACTTGGGGATTGAGTTTTTCTTTCCTGTTCTCATTACATGCATGACAATTACTTGTAATAATTTTTAATGATTCTGTGAAGTTCTTATAATTGGCTTTGTCTTGACCTTATTTGTTCCCAGTGCATAGCTCCAGTTTTTGTTCATAACTGCATGCTCTTACATTTCATGATAGTAAAGTTGACCTTCTTTTCTGTATCAGTACTTTTGTTTTGTCTTTCTGAAAAACAGTTGGGTTCTTGTTTGAATTGTTGATGTTCCTGACTGTCATCACAAGTTTTCATTAACACAGGCCTACTTTGTAGTGCTATACAGACATAAATTTAGACTTCAGTTTTTAAATATGATGCCTGTCTGTTAAAACAACTCTTCTGTTAACATTTATTAATAGTGTCCATTGTTGGCTTCCTGTTAATATACTACATATCTTAAAGTATTA